GGAGGTCTCATCCCTAACCTCTAAAAATTAAATGGCAGAGGGACTTGCGATGTGAAAGTGGCATGTGTTTTCACGAGAAAGTGTCTTTGAGTTTCATTTGGTTTTGTGTTCTGGTGCAAATCAAGTTCGTTTTGGCAAGAACATATGCATTCAGAGAGGATTTTATCATTGTGCCTATTTATTTTTAGTAGAATGCCACTTGACTATTTGATTAAGGTAACTTCAACAATTCGACAACTTAGATTGAAACAATTCACCTTGAGAGCCAGAGGTAGCCATGGTTAGATGCTGGATTATGTAATGCACGGCGTGGGTGGAGGCCAGACTTGGTTTCTGTTTCTTCATGAGCCACAGCGATTCTGTCCACATGGCAGAGGCTTATGTGTATGATAAGTGGAGGGAGAAACAAGAAGTCTTACTTTCTTTTGCATGTGACGACAAATCTCACTTCATGCTTTAGTGAGAAATGAGACAGCGCCTAAAACTAAATGCATCTTGACATTATGGTGATTGTCTAGAGAATAAGCTGCTGAAGAATTAACTATATTTGTCACATTTTGTCTGAAGCTTCTATGAAAGTTTCTCGAGCCACTCAGTATTTAGGTAATTCAGAGTACGTACTTCCGAAGTCACTCTCAAAATAGAACCCGTTTCCCCCATCTAGTCAGTCGTGATGCCTGAGGGTGGGACCACATGCTTTGGAAGGAAGCAGCAGATGGGGGAGTTCCATTTAATGGTTTAGTGGGAAAGCAGAGGTTATTTTTCTGGCTTAGTGTTAAGAGTTGTGGTGAAGCTTACCTTGATTTGTAATGTACAATGACCACACAGTATCTTTACTCTTGAAATCTTTTTCTGTAACTGATGCTCTAATTCCTCTTTACTGCTCCATTTGTCTTAAAAAAATTCTAAATATAATTTTCTTGGAAGTGAGTAATTAATACTTCCTAGGGTGAAACTCCAGGCAGTTGGTAGAACTTGGGTGGTCTTTACTTGCTGTAGTTGGTTGGCTTTTGAATTTTTAACGATGGCGCCAAAAAGTAGTTTAGATTACAGGTTAGTACACATATTCGTATATGTATGTAACTAAAACATGTTTCTTCAAGTGGCACTTACATATCACGTGAAGCACTAATGTTTTCTAACATGTAATTCTTGGAAATGCTTCTTGTGAACTCCTAACGAGATTGCAACTCACAATTTAAAAAACACTGCCTAACACACAGCTGCAGTCTTATGTGGGGTCATTGTACCTTCCAAGAATCACCAGTCCTTTTTGAACCTTTTCCTGATGTGCCTGTCTGACCCCGACTTCACTGTGAGCACCCTTAACTTGTTTCCAGTGCTTTTCTGCCCATGCAGGTCCCCTCCATTCCCTTTCAGCTTCCATGGGAAATGGGCAAAGCCCTAGCGTGTTCTTGCCACAGCCTCTGGTCATCAGCGTTTAGTAAGATTCAGATCACATCCTTCAAGTACAGTTCTAACTTAAGGATCAAAAGTCTGTGTTGTTGCCTGAATGGAAGTGTCGTTTGAGAAATTGAGTCTCATTTTGTGAGGACAGCCAAGCCTGGTGTCTACCTCAGTGCCACAGCTCTGGCCCAGTGTGCACACAGGGACCGTGGGAAATGTTTCACTGGAGCTGTTGTAATATTCCGCTGGCTTTGGTTCCAGGGACATTTACACACCATGGCAGCCTACCTCTTCATGACCATGACACGTTTGTCCCTTTCCTTCTTAGGAAAAGGGAGTAGTTTTCTTGGGGTGGCAAGGTGGGCCGGGGGACGACTCCTGAATGTAATTAACCATCATTCAGAGAGCAAGCACCTAGACAGACAGTGTTTGGTATATTTATTTCACCTTTACAGTAGTGAAATATGGGGTTTTTTCCACCTTATGTGACATGTTTCAGGGGTTCCATTTTGCATTGTCATTATATTGGAAATATATTTGATGGCTTGTCAGGAGGGAACAGGTATAATTGTTACTAACCTGTACATTTTTCAGCCTCTAGAATAGTGTGATAGGTTAATGATAACTGAGGTTTAAATTGACAGCATTTACCACTTTATAAAAATAAGCACAAGAAATGTCAGTGTTCACTATATGAGTCGAAACTACTTTGGTTTCTGTAGGCCCTTAACAATGAACATGATGGAGATAATTTTGTAATGACAACTATTAAAAATTGATTTGATTACTGTGTTTTTGTGACAAGATGCCATCCTGTGGCAGTGACCTAAGAACGTTGTGATGGCCTCAGATGTCTGGCCCACTGGTGGGGATGTTCCTATGCCAGCACCCTGACATGTCCTTAAGACACTCCAGCTTCTCATCTTGACCTTAAAAAGTAGGCTCTCTGACCTCCTAGTAGAGCTCTTCTGTAGGATTGAAGACATATTTTAAAGTCAGTATAATGTCATTAACCTACATATTTGACATTCATTGACATTTCTTTAGCTTTGGCAACAGTAAGATGTTCTGAAACCTGGATTTCACATATTCTGTTGATGGGTGTAACGTTTGTTTAAGCCAGTTCCTTTTGACCATCTGCTATTCTGTACTTGGTTGCTATTTTATTTTTAAAATAGTTTTATTGCAGTTGCCCCTTGATGTAGACCGTAAAATAAGAGCCTTAATGGCAGGGTTGCTTCATCTTTGGCTGTTAAAAAAATTTGTTTTTTAAATGTAATGAGAAAGTGTGTTTAGGTACAAGTGAAGCCACCTAGCTTGAACATGAGTGCCTCGGACTCAGTGACCTGCTTCATTTGAGGAAAAGGGAAGCCTTAGAACAGGAGGTAGTGTTAAAGATGACACACCCCAAATGGACTTTTCACAGAAATCCTCCTTAAACTCCATAAAACTGTGCTATCATCAGAGCCACTTCTTATCCACACTGGCCAGAGCCAGCATCCCATGCACAGCCAGGCTTTCCTGCCGGCTGTAGAGATGCAGGACAGTGGCCTAGCGGGAGCCTGGACTCTAGAACCAGCCTGCCCAGATGGGAAGCTTGGGGAGGTCACACACCTCTCTGGTCTCTAGGTTTCCCATTTGTAAAATGGGCATAATAACAGTGCCATTGTAGGTTGCTGTGAGGATTAGATGTGACCTGGTCACAGTGCCTGCCTTGCTATGTAGCCTTAGTGACGGGCGCCTGTCTTTTGGTGTCTGGGCAAAGCTGACCTCATTTGATTAGTTTAGGTCTCTAACATCTGTCCATAAAAACCCAGCATGGGCATGTAGCTGTTCCGTGAATTTTTGTTAAAATGCACTTAGGTTAACGATTGGTGGGTAGCCTTTCAAAGATAGCAGTTTATGAAAGAGCTTCCAGTAAGCCTGTCTTCTACTGGTTGCATCTGCATCCTTGTCCTTCACTGCATTAGCACTGGTAGCAGAAGGCGGAGGAGATGAGTGCCAACACCACACTATACTCGCATTAGGTAGACGCACGACTCATGGTCAGTAGTCAGCACATGTCTGTGTTTGTGATAGCAGAGCTAACTGACTTTTACGCTAGCTTTATAGTGACAAAGTAGCCAAGTTGAGAACAGAGAACGTTCCCTATTTCCTAGGACAGCGTAGGTGTGGCCTTTTTTGGGCTTTCTGCTGACTGCTTCTTTTGTTACAATGCACAGCATTTATTGGCTCCTTATATAGCCTTGTGCTAGGTGAGGATCTCCATGGTGGGTTGTAGCAGAGATAGTTAAGAAAAGAAAGGAGACTCTTATGATAAGGATCTGGAGTAGTCTCATGCTCTGTGCCCACCCAACCAGTGGTAACTTCGATTTTTCATTATCCTTCCTTCATACATCATTAAGGGGAAACCGCTTTCTAGTTAACCAAAACTTTTAAATTACCTAAAAGGAAACCCTAAGCCTGGAGCAAGTCATTTCAATAAATCTTGTTCATACTTTACCTTCTACTGCTTTTTTTCATGCAAGAAGGAAGCTTTTTCAAGTACATTTGAAAAATATTGTCAGTAAATTAGAAAGCTTCATGGTAAGCCAGCAAGGAGTTAAAATAAGAGCCCAAGATTTGGAGTTAGGAGATCTGGATTCTGTTTTGGGCTCTTAAAGCTAACTGTGGGGCAGGTCTGATTATATCTAAAGGACTTTGCAGCTTTTAGGCATTTTGAATATGGCAGCAGCAACTGCATGTTATTAGGTGAGGGTAACAGAAGTTGTGTTCCAATTTACACCTCAGGTCAGGTAAACGTCAGAGCCTATGATCAAAGCACTCCTGCAGCAGGACACAGAGTACACATGGTCTGTGAGACACCCTGCGGTCCAGGCCCCTGACCTGCATCTGAGTTACGCCTGCCTAGGGGACTCGCAGAGTCTGAAAGGGGACTTGGGAGCTGCTCCAAAGGAATTTCATCTAAGTCTTTTAAATCAGAAAGATACGTGCTATGTGGTGGCTGGAGGAAGAAGCACCGTGTGTCCAAAAATTAACTAGTAAAACCAATCCGTGGTCTTGGATTTCGCAGTAGTGCACCTACTAGATTGAAAGATTGAAGCCTTTTTTTTTTTTAACAATAAGTAACTTACCAAATTAAGCAGTAACAGGACAGACTCTATATTCTTCCCCTAGACTCTCAGTTTTGAGTGAGCTCTTTAGTTTATAGCACTTGATCAATAAATACTAGTTGAAATTTTCCCAACTTTCTTTTACCATCTCCTCTTTACACTGGGCCAGCTGTGCCTCCAAGCCTCCTGTGCTCCTGAGCAACCCTTGCCTTACTGCTCGCTTGCTCCCTGGGCCCAGGAGATGGTTTGTTTCTGTTACGTTGGGTAGTAGACAGCCTGCAGAGTCTTGGGCAGCTGAAGATAGGTGTGTGAAGCCTTGGGCTCACCATTACCAGTCTCCCTTCTGCCTGCACCCCATCCCCACTGCACTCCAGCGTCAGGCCCTGGACCTTCATCTCTCTTTGTAAAGAAAACATTTTTAAGAATGCTGACATTCAGTGAATAAATGGGAATATTAATTCTTTGCTCTCTTCTCAACAGACGCGAGACGACTTCCTGGGACAGGTGGACATACCCCTCAGCCATCTCCCGGTAAGGACAGTTATCTGCTACATGTGTGCTATGAGCAGTGCATTCTGTTTGCAGTTGGGTGTTTTCCAAGCAGTATTTCTTCAACACACTAGAGGAGGCTGAAAAGAAGACTGGACGCTGGCCCTGGCCCTTTCTAGAAAGTGGTCCTTCCAAGGGGCTAAGAGAGAGGAGCATAATTGAAAAAGCATGTGTAACTGATCATGCAAGGAAGCATGTTCACATTTCCAGCAATTTTCTCTTCTCTCCAGCTAGTGTACCTTTGTCACATCACAGAACAACTGCCTTCTTCTATCACCCCCTCCTCCTTGTCACTGGAATGTCTTTGTTTTTCAGATTCATCCTTGGATATAACCAAACATTTGTTCCCTTTGTCCAGAAGTGCACAGGCTGTTCCTCTTGGGTACCTCTATAACAAGCTAGTGTTCCCCCACATGTTGGTATATGCCTTTCTTAGCATGGAGACAAACAGTGCTATTGGTTTGGAGTAAACCTGTTGCTGGAAATGCTCACTCTAGCTTCAGAAACGTACTGATCTGGCATGTAGTATTGTTACCATTTCTCTGCTCGCACCAGTAGCAGAACAGTTGGGGCTGTTGACTAATAACTGAGGTTGAAGGTGTCTCCCACGTGCTCCAGAAGCAATATAGGTAGAATGGGGGGCAAGACCTGGAGGCCTTGGTGAAGGTGGATCCTGTCATCTCCCAGCTTTCTAGATTATTCCACCCCTGCTCCTGGCCCTTCCTCCCATGGGCAAACTGACTGAGGTGGCACCTAAGAGGGGATAAGTCAAATGTTTCTGCCTTCGAAAGGCATTTTGTTATTTTTTAATGCCTTGTGTGAGCAAACAGCATAGTCTAGAGACTAAGATGATTGAAACCGTATAGTGTAAGCCTACCACTATGGCTATTACCACATGTTAAATACCAAGAAAAGCCGTCTCTTACCCAGGAAGCTTTGAAGACATATTGTGAAGGATAGTGCTAGCAAGCAATTCTTCTTAATTTACTCAGGGTAGCTATTAAGGAAGAAAGTTTCAAGTGCATTCCCTTCTAAAAGATTGGAAGCAACATTGATATCATTCAAATATTTTGGTTTGTTTCTGTGTAAAAACATGAAGTTCCAAGGTGCCTGTGGAGGGTGCATGTGTGTGCTTGAAACTTTATAAGCCATCAGAACCCCCAGTTATTCTGTAAAGTCACATTGAGAGGATATGAAAGTCTCACCATTTGCATGGGAAGACTCTTCATGTATTTCTGCATCAGCAGGAGTTCTGTCTGTGGTCTTCAGGTTGAAGCTCTAATCTCCTCTCATTTTTAGGCAGTGCTGGTTGATTGGCTGGTCTGTAGTGAGTGTCCTATCCACCCTTATCCCTAATGCAAAGCTGCATCTCAGTGACAGCAAATGATACAATATTCTCTAAAGGGTGTAAGTAAAACTTTTAAACAACTCGCTCCAACAATTCCTGGTTTGAGTGATTGAGTGTCGATTGGTTTCGAGAGGTTGGGTGAGACTCCTAGAGGAACAGAAGAACATTCCTCTTCAGAAACCAAGTCCGTAGAGGGAATTGTTTAGCTTTGCATTTGGGTGGAGCCAAGAGTGAGCTTTCCATGAAAGAAGAGGTGCCAAGGCCCAGGACTAGAATAGAAACCAGCTGGTGGGAGAGCAGACTAGTGAACGCCTGGGGAGGCCTGAGCACTTGTCCGTGAGCTGAGCCAGCTGACCGATGGAGCTTCCCAGGTTTGCCTCCGCCCAAAGCTTAGCTTGCACTGGAGTGCTGTGTTCTCCGTGCTCACGCTGACCAGCTCTGTGGAGCCAGCCACAGTCGGGAGAGGAAGCCAAAGGAGAGGTGCGCTGGTGCCTCCCTCATCCTCCTAAGTGTTGGAGGAAACCAGCTAGCATACTCAGAATGGGCGTGGCCTTTTGGCCTGGGGTTTGAGGTGTACACATATATATGCTTGGTCACATGTATAGGAATATATTTTGTGGAGTAAATAACGGATGTTCTTTTCTTGATTGCTACATGACCATTGTCAAGGCAGATTATATATGGCCTGTAGATTATATGTGGCCTATATTTGTCAAAATCATCAAATTTCAGGTAAAAGAAATGAGGTAAATCATCTTACTAGGCATGAGAAGATGATGGAGAGCAGAATGTGGTGGCTGCCATTACCAACGCACTCAAGCCTCAAGATTTAAGGAATCTGATCAGGCATTTGAGTATTAATCAGTTTTATACAGTTCCATTAGCTGATAGAGAATTTATTTCTTCAGAAGAGATTTGCCAATAGACATGATTCTGGTCTCTGAGGAAGAATCAGGGAAGTAAGTTCTGCCCTCATGTAGCTTAGCAGTGCCAGCTGTTAGGGAAGACACACGTGATCCTTGAGCATTTGAAATGGGGCTCATGTGACTGAGGAACTGAATTTATCATTGTATTTCATTATAATTAATCAAAATTTAAATTAAGCCACATGTGACAAATGGCACCATATTGAATGGTACATGTGAGGATCAGACCAGCAGTCCCTGGCTTAGATAAAAAAATGTCTTAATTCTGCATTCCCTTTTCCTCAGACAATAATTCTGGCTATTGGAAGGCACTGGGGGTGGAGAAATTCTCAAACCTGCCAGTTTAACTTGGTGATTTTTCATTCAGGTCTTTTCCTCTCCCCAAGGCTGTTTCTCTCCAGTTTCCCACAGCTAACATACCAAGAATATTTAATCTAAGTAATAAGAAAAGATCCGAAATTTGGAATCATAGAAATTACAGTAAGGGAAATATTTTTGTCATTTTCTAAATGTGTGTTAGCAAATACCTAATTGCCCTT